CTCCACGCCCGCCTTCCCCGCCGCCGGGGATGTCTGCAGGAGACAAACAAGCCGCCCAGCATCCTGTTAGCGCGACAGAACCAGAGTTAAAGTCATGAGGAACAAACAGTGAAAGAAGCTGCTTCATTTCCAGCATCCCCAAGGAGCGGAGAGCCAAGCACCAGGAACACCACAGACTGCCCCGGGACAGGACGGCTGCTGGCCTGGGACAGAGCCTTGTGCTTCTACAGCCTCTTCCCTCCCCGTCCATCTCAGGGCAGGGAGCAGACAGGGCTTGGTGTCAGCCTGCGCTCGACGCTACGCCCGGCCGTCCACCTCCGGTTGAGCTCCCCGTGGAGGCGGCAGCATCCCGCCTGGGCATGGGCAACACCGAGCCGGCCGCGCTTTGCCAGTTGCCTGGTGGGGATCGGGAATGATTCCTGGATACGGCAGCTCCAGGGTGCGCCAGGGCCTCTCCCACTCCTCCTCCTTCCCAAACTCTCCACTTGCTGCTAACAGTCATCTCCACGTCATCCCCAGACACATCATGCTCCGCGTCTGCCACCTCTCCCTGGGCAGGGCAGGCAGTTTCTCTGCCTGCTGCTCACCCTTTGCAAGCCCTCCCTCCCCCTTTCCACGATCTCATCTCCTCCAGCCGCGGAGTCTGACCTCGTCCTTTACACCCCTTCTACCTGGAGGATCCTCTTCCAGCTGCAGCACAGCAAGGACCGGCATGGCTTCCCGCCGGCACATGCTCTTCACTCAGACCCAGACAAAAAATCTGGCCCCATTTCCCACTGAACAACCATTCACCAGCTGCCTACCTCGACCAGCAGTCGCAGCATCTTGGTGCAGCATCAGGCTGCGGCCGTAAAAGCCCGAGCGTGGCCGCAGTCACCCAAGCACAGCGCACCAGGCCCCGGTGAGTCGGGGTAAATCCGGCACCAGCAAGCATCGTGCCAGCAGGCGCGGGCATCGGCTTGTCTGCCCGGCAAAGCCACAACGCCTCTGCCCGGGGATGGACCCTACAGCCTGGACGTGCCGTCTCCCCAGCCACACGGGGATAACTCCCTGCTTTACATGGGTACCAGGAGGCAGAACGCAGCAGCGACCGGGGATGCTCACGCAGGGGAGGAGGATATGGGGACGTGGGAGCCTCCCGGGGACGGGGCGGCAGCGAGGTTTGGGGGCCCTGAGAGAGGAGTCTGGAGAGGAGAAGGGATCTGGCCCTCTTTCTCTGCGGTCATGTTTTTGTAATCTTCTCCTCCAGAATTAGAAAATCACCAGCTACATATACGGACGCGGGGTGATAATCCCCAGCGCTTACATCACTGCAGACAAATGTGAGCTACAAAGCACCCGGACAGAAAGTCCCGGGTCTCAAATCACAGCACAGTCTAAACCTTCTCTACCACATTTTTGCTTTCACTCAGCATCTAAATCGTAACAACTTGAAGCTGTTTCCTCTCCTGTAACCTAACACAATCCCATTCTTAAAGCATGCAAATGTTTTTTTCCCCACCATGATCTCATGAAGGCTTGAAATCCCATCTGGGCAAGTCAGGGTCCATGGCAAAACAGCAACCGCTATCACAGCAGCTGCTCTTGAGCAGCACTAAAATGCACGCAGGCCACTGGCTTTATTATTCCTGTTCAGATTTCCTTGCGCTTTGCAAGTCCAACCAAAGCAGCAGTTTCCCAGTAGTTTCTGGTCTGTGTCATGTTGAGGTTCTCGCTCAAAGGCACCAGTTCTCAGGCTGCAAAACCACCAGGAGAAATGTTATTACATCTTCTAGATGCGGTTATTGTGAGCTCCAGGTGATGCTAGTCCTGGAAACACAGAGCTACAGGACAGGGATGTGTTGTTCCTCCAGTGTGCAAGGTATCAATCAGACAGCAGAGCCCGTGAAGTCCCCTGGACCAGAGACTTTTCAGGTGACAGGGGAACCCAAGAGCCCCATGCCATGGTGTCCTGTGCCCAAATTAGCACCGAAGACCCCCCCAGAAGTGCCTGTGCCCTGCACAACCCCCCAGAGACCAGCCAGGCTCTGGTAGGGCTGGGTGGAAGCTGGCACCAGCCCTTGGAATCTCTGCAGAGGCTGCAATGCAAAGCCTGGCCGTGCTGAGAAAACCCGCTCCCTCCCGCCCCAGACGGGGAAATGCTCTTTTCCATACAATGGGAAAAGAAAAACAGCAGGAAACCAAGAGCTAAGCATTAATATGAAATATGCCCTGCTGCCCCTCCGCAGGAGGGAAGGAGAAGAGGAAAGGTCTGGCTGCCCAGGAGCCAGCATTGGGGCAGAAAAGCCTTCAGGGCTGCAGCAGGGACAGCGGGAGGATGGCTTGGGGGAGATGGAAGGGCCCTTCCCACCTCAGATCTCTGATGAGGAGCTGATCACAACCCTGGAAATCATCTCTGCTGAGAGCTAAAGCCAAGGAAACACCTTGCCCTCGACCGCAGGCATCTCAGGTGGAGGACAGCCAACAGTAAATACAATTAGACCTCCCTCCCTGGAAACGGGGATAACCAGAGCGCAGACAGCAGGCTCCAGTCCTGCCCGCCCCCCCCTCCCCCCACCCAGCTTCTGGCACCTTTCCACCAGGTGAGACCCAGCGAAGCCTCACGTTGGGCTCCTGTTGACTGTGGTCCCTTCTGCTCTGCCCCGACACAAACCCCGTCTCCCTCCTCCATCCTCCGGCAGCCGCCAGTTGAGACCCAGCGAAGCCTCACGTTGGGCTCCTGTTGACTGTGGTCCCTTCTGCTCTGCCCCGACACAAACCCCGTCTCCCTCCTCCATCCTCCGGCAGCCGAGGGAAGTGATCCCGTCCTGCCGAAGGGCAGGCAGGCGTTCTGTGCCGTGGGCGCAGAGGATGCCAGCTGTGAGCTGCACCTCCATGGCCGTTTTGGTTTTAAGCAGGAGACGACAGCAACGTGGCGAGGCAGCCCAGATGGGTCCTCAGCCCAGCAGTCCCAGGCTCCATCACCACCGGGACGGGCACAGGGGAAGCCTCAGCTCCTGCTTTTCAGCCTCGGTTTCCCCCCGCAGCACAGACACAAGCAGCGCTGACCCCTGAGCACGCTCTGGCACGGTTGCAGAGAAGATGTCGAGGCATTTAAAACCATTCACGTCTTTCCGCTCTCCCAAGCCGCACCGCAGCCTGCAGTCGCCAGCCCTTAGGCAGAGCCCTTGTGGCTCTTATGTTTAAGTGCGTGTACAAGTATCTATGTAAATATTGTATATATAGACACACAAGGAGGGAGGTTAGCAAGTGCAGAGCTTGGTTGTCCTCCCGCTGAAAAGACAGCGAAACATCAGCTAATTCTGTATGCTAATGACGGAGGCTGATTAAACCCCAAGCCCCGTCCGGTTGCTGTGATGCTCCCCCGCTGTGCCTAATCCAGTCCTCCCACCTACCCCTCCTGAAAATCTCCTTTAGCAGCAAACTGGCTACTTGTCACTGAAGATGTGGAGCTGGGGAAACACCGTGCTCAGCATCTTTCAAGCTCCTTTAGTTTTCGCACTCGATCTTCGGGAGCTGAGCAGCAGGGGCAGCAGGCCAGGACCGCAGCAGGTCTAACCAAAATCCCTCCTGGTTTCAGTAACCCAGATCTTCGGGACGCTGAACCGGAGCTAGCTCCCTGCCTCCCCGTCTGCCTGGACGGGAGGGATGCTGCGGGACAGGGACAATAAATACCACATCACTTGGAAGGAAACAAACACCATGAAGTGCGCTGGGCTTGGTGGTGTCTGCCCGCGGGGCTGGCAGATCGCTCTGCGTGTGTGTTAAACACAGGAGCATCTCGTCAGCCATCACTACATGCACCCCTGCCTTTAAAACCAGCTCGCAGCTCTGCCCCGGCACCCCACGCCCCGGGCAGCGATGGGCTGCAGCACCCAGCCGTGGCTCCGGCAGCGCCCGAGCTACCCCAACGCCACCCAAAGCACTCGGGGGAAAACAGGGGAGAACATCGCACTTGGCCAAGCCTTCTTCTGCAAATACCAGAGCAGCCAACAAACCAGTCTGGTCATGCAGACTGGTTGTGCTTTCACGTCTAAGGAGAGGAAGGAAACAAGACGCTCGGTCTTCGCCCTCTGTCGGGATGGGACGGGCGACGGGTGGGCGTTCTTTGCCGTAACAAGTGGGGATTGTTTGGGGGGAGAGCCGGGAATAAAGCGGGGCTGCGGTGACTCAGGGGGCTGTTAACCACACCGGGAACTGCCTCGGGACCGCGTGCCACATCCCCGCTGTCGGCAGCGACTCCGAGCCACCATCTCCTGGGTTTTGCACGCTCTCCCCGGCCACGCAGAGCCCGGCAGTGCCTCGCAGGGGTGACAGCACCCGAGTGATTCCTCCTCCTCTCCGCCTCTCCTTGCACTGCCCTGCTGAGGCTCAACAGTGGGAATTTTTCCCAGGAAGATTTTCTTCCCCTTACTTCAATCAGAGGGAAAACGTGGGGGTGCCCCTTTCTGTGGGAGCAGGCAGGGGTCCCAGCTGACCCCCAGGCCCCACCACGCGCTGGGTGGTACCCAGAGACCCTTGCTCCAGCCAGGCTGCGCCCAGCATCCAGCATCCCAGCTGGCTGCCCGCTCCGTCAGGGAGCTCAGCCGGACACCGGAGCGTTTCTCAGCAAAAATAGAGCTCAGAGCCCTTGGGCTACCGAGGGGGAAATGTCAGAGGCCAAAGGCCACTGCAAGAGAGCGAGATGAAGGGCAGGATGGAAAAAAAAATGTTAAAAAAAAAAAGTGAAATGAGAATGTTTCAGTTCTCAGTCCCTAAGTCTCATTCTCCATTTCCATTCCCTGCTTTTCTCAGACTTCTAACCAATCTTTTCTTCCCACCACAACAGACCTGCAGCTTCTCAGGCAAATCACTGCAGGGACTTTATTGTCCTTTGTCCTTGGCATCACCAGCACTCGGCCACGCTCTTCGCTCCCAACACGGGGCGAGGTCTCACGTGCCGTGTGTTTTACCCACTTCCCCCAGGAGCAGGGAGGCTCGGGCATCACTACACACCCAGCCGCTGTCCTGAGCGCAGCCCAGCCAGAAACCAGCCCTGCCAAACTACGTGCTCGCCAGCATCGGACCTGCTCCTATCTGGAGACTGCAGATAATAACATGATTTAACATACAAATGTTTCAAATTAAATTTCCAAACTTTCCTTCTTTCTTTATGGATACAAAGGCAGTGAAAACAAGGGCACAAGCCAGAAAAACAACACAACTAGACATTTTCTCAGACTTTTGCATCTAAGTTTACACAACCCATTGTTGCTAACTTTGGTTATTTTAACAGCAATAAAAAAAGCTTTAGAAGCAAAGCCTGGCAGTGGTCTGAAAGCCACAAGTAACTAGAACTATTTGATGTTATGTGAGAATTTCAGCTTCCTCTTAAAAGCAACACTAACTGCACCCAGTTTATTTAGACAAGCTTCCTCACTCCGGTCTCTCCACATTTTCACTGTATGTATCGTCCCAAAGTCCCTGGCCAGTGCAGCACATCGCACTGGGGAAACTGAGGCAAAGAGATGGGAAAGCACCCGTCACCTGGGAGCTGCCACGATCCTGGGACCTGCTCTGAGGCTTCGGGGGAGAAGTTCTCAGGAGTCACCGGTGAGGAATCAAAAGGCAGACCGCACCTTGTCAAGCTCTCACCCCTGGTGTGCTAGTTTTCTTTTTAAAGTGAATTTTAAATTATTCATTTTCTCAGTATTAAGATTTTTGCAGATTTATTTTTCTCCAGGTGGCGTGAGGGGCCAGGCTGAGGTTTGTACACACTGGGACAAGCACAGGTATAAATCACCTCTTTGAAACCGCATTTCCCAGCATAAGAATCCTGCACATTAAAACAAGCCTCTTTTCACCTTAGAGCACGTGAAAAATCCCAGTTAATCCACCAGGACTTGTCGGGGTTTTAAAATCAAGCATCTGTGCAAACGTACACCAGATCGATGTCTAAACAAGAAAAATATCCCCAGCCTTTGATCACCAGCCAAATCTCATACCTCTCCCACCCAAAACAAGCAGGAGCGGATGGCGGTGTGGTGTGACCATGACACAGGGACAAACAGCAGAAACCCAAACAGAGGCGGTGGGGACAGCCCTGGCGAGGGGCAGGGCAGCGGAAAGGCTGGCTTTTGTCCCCTCCCGATGCGCTGGCGGACGGGAAGCTCTCCTAGGACAAGACTGAGATCGCTGCCGGAGCTATACGGACGGCTGGGTTTGCAGACGTACCTCACCTGTAGGGATGCACCTCCACGTGCAGCATGTGTGGGCACACGCCTCCGACACACATGGGCGCACACCCCCAGCACTCCAAGCACTATCCTGCAGCAGGGGCCCATCTTCAGGGGGCATGGCCACACGCCTGCGCCATGTGTGACACACCTCTGGCACGGACACATGGCCAGCACACATGGGCACAAAGCTGTGGCTGGCACGCACACGCTTGCAGCACGTGGGGCTCGCCCTCACCACCCATGGGCACACGCCTGTGCCACGCACACATCTCAGGCATCCATGGCACATGGCTGTAGCGTGGATGCACACGCATCGGCCACTGATGGGCATGCACCTACGGTGTCAACATACCTCGGGCACGTGTGCATGCTTCTATGGCACACATGCACCTATGGCACGGGCACGCTTATGGCATGCACACACCTATGGCATGCATAGAGCTATGGCATGGGCACACCTATAGCATGCTCACACCCCAACATGTACACACCTGTAGCATGGGCACAGCTATGGCATGCACACACCCATGGCATAGGCACACCCATGGTATGCACACACCTATAGCACACACAGAGAATCACAGAATGGTCGGGATTGGAAGTGACCTCTGTGGGTCACCCAGCCCAACCCCCTGCCCAAGCAGGGTCACCCAGAGCAGGCTGCACAGCACCGCGTCCAGGCGGGTCTGGAATATCTCCAGAGAGGGAGAATCCACAACCTCCCTGGGCAACCTGGGCCAGGGCTCCGTCACCCTCAGAGGGAAGAAGTTCTTCCTCATCTTCAGACAGAACTCTGCTTCAGTTTGTGCCTGTTGCCCCTTGTCCTGTTGCGTTGGATGTGTTTGGTTGTCACACTTCAAGCCGGAGTAA